AAGATAGAGCACGTGGTTTGAGAAATGGTGTACATGAAGAGATGAATGAAGTGGTAAAAAGTTACACACAAACAGAGCTCATGGAGCTGGCAAAGGTGTATAAGCATGAAGTTGGTGAAAATGTGGGAGAATGGTTATTGCGCATGTGGGATGGAGGAGCTGACAGTGTGCAGTTGAATGCAAGGGAAGCATTATGTATGGGGCAGCTGACGCTGCATCCACAGCTCATGCAGGTATTATGGAGGGTGAGGGAGATTAGAGGTAATTTTTCATTATTTGATATGGTGCGGCATGCCATAATTGTGGCCTTCCCATCTAGCAATGACATTGAGCCCATTTCACCCTGGTCAAAACCGAGGGATGCTATTACCCGCATTAGAGTTATGGGTTGTGTGGTGGGATTAAACAAGGATAACTGGGAAGGTCCAGACATGGAGGAATTCACAGCCAGCATGCGGTCTCGGTTTTTAAAAAGTGCACCCCAGGAAATTAAGGCATCTTTATTGTCTTTGCTGGGCAGTTTGGGGAATAATGTAAAGGTACATCAGCTCACCACTTATTTAGCTGAAATTGGAGAATTAGAGTCAGAATCTAACCCTAGGAAAGGTGTGTTTGCCGCTAACAGGACGAGGGAGGAGATGGTGAAACCAATAGAGGGAGAAAAGCAGGGAAAGTTTAGGAATAAAACAAGGCTGAGAGTTAATCGTTTTCAAATGTGGAATGATTTGATTGAGGCTGGTGTACCTAGAGAACAAATTAATGGAATTTCAACACCTGCCATGTTTGAAAAATGGTTAAAACTAAAAAAAGGGTCTAATAAAAAGGTACAGGTACATTTGGCATGCAAGGATCAGGCAGACAATACCATGCCCTCTGCCCCATTTGTCCCAAAGTCTCCTCCCCCTAGTTATTTAAAAAACACTCCTCTCATGCCTACAGACCCAGCTCCTCTGTCCATACCTCTATTCCAACATTGTGCTCCTTATGCTGTGCCCCCACCCTCACTTCAAGCCCAAGATAACACCCCCTCATATTCATACCCACATATGTCCTCACTGTTTCCAACAGAATATTGTGCTAGGACTTACTCTCATACTACATCTAGTGAGAAACAAGCACTGCCAGAGAGTGATGGTAAAGTCAGATCCTTGTATCCTGTAAAAGATCTGATGACACATGATTTGATGGATTGGGACAGTGCTGTTGTACAATGACAGAATGGTGGGCCTCCAGCGGTACATGTGTCCCCTTTAACCGCCGGGGACCGACGCCCTTATGTACCTTTGACTGTGTGGTGGGGGACAAGACCAGGACCAACAAAGATTTTAGCTTTAGTTGACACAGGAGCAGAAGTCACAGTACTGCATGGTAATCCATCAAGGCTATCAGGACCCTGTGTGAGAATAGAAGGTTTAGGAAGTAGAATTACCAAAGCAGTACAAACTGTTGTGGCTATGTCAATTAACAAAGGACCAAGATTCAGTGCTAAAGTTTTGATTTCAGAATTGCCAGACAATATCTTGGGAATAGATGTGTTACTAGGGCAGAGTATTGAGACACAGTGGGGGGTGTTCACGTTTGGATTCCCTCATAAGCCATACTATCTCAGACCAGTAAAAGACATTGTGCGTGGAAATGCAAATTGGACACCTGTCATTGTTCCTCCTCCGTGCAACCCGGTAAGACTGAAGCAATACCGTTTGCCCGGAGGATGTCGAGAAATTAGTGAAACTATCGACAAGCTTTTACAGTCAGGTGTAATTCGTCCAGCTGTCAGTCCGTTCAATGCTCCAGTATTACCTGTAAAGAAGATGGATGGCTCATGGCGAATGACGGTGGATTAACGGGGACTCAACAAGGTAGCACCACCATTGAGTGCTGCTGTCCCTGATATTATCACCATTGTGGGAAACATTGCCAAACAGGCCGGGGAGTGGCATGCGGTAATAGATTTAGCTAATGCGTTCTTTTCAATTCCTATTGCACCTGAGTCGCAAGATCAATTTGCTTTCACTTGGGAAGGACGCCAATATACCTTCCAAGTTGTGCCCCAGGGATATATACACTCACCTACGATTTGCCATGGACTAGTTGCACAGGATTTAAGCCACCTCACTCTACATCTTCCAGTGTTTCACTACATTGATGACATCATGATCTCGGGATCTAAAGAGGAAGTGAAAGAAGCATTACCTGTTCTAGTGAATTACATGACTGGACAGGGATGGGCAATAAATAAAGACAAAATTCAAGGTCCAACCCAAGAAGTTAAATTCCTAGGAATGATGTGGTCTGGGCCTGTTCGGAAGATACCTCAGCCTGTGCTGGATACAATCCAGAATTCTCCAGAACCTAAGACGTTAACAGAAGCCCAAAAGTTTTTAGGTGCAGTTGGTTACTGGAGAGCATTTATACCACATCTAGGATTGCTGCTACGCCCCATATACAATGTTATAAGAAAGAAATCAGCATTTGTATGGGGAATTGATCAAGCTACAGCATTCCAAGCAGCAAAGGAAGCAGTATTACAGCATCAGGGCTTGGGCCCGATTCAAATTGGAGCTCCGTTCATATTGGATGTGATGGTGAATGACAACGTAGCATCATGGGGACTACGGCAACCGAGCGAAGACAAAGGCAAGCGGGCAGTACCAATTGGGTTTTGGTCCAAGCAACTGACTGGGGCTCAGCAAAGGTACACACCTTTGGAGAAGAATCTTCTGGCAGCATACCTCGCACTGCAGCATGTGGAGACAATGACTGAGAAAAGCATAGTATCAGTGAAAACAGATTTACCAATAGCAGGATGGGTACGAGATGAAGGATTATCTGCAAAGACAACAGTGGCACAAAGTCAGACATTATTAAAATGGAAGTGGTACCTGCAGGAAAGAGGAGGGATCCAAGCAGGTGAAGTGAAGGAACTGACCAAACTCCTTACTGGGTTAGTGACAATCCCAATGTACAAGAAGTCCCAATTTTACAGCCCTCACCCATCAAGACAGCTCCTTCATTCAGAGAACTGGGTGAAGAACAAAAGAAAAACACATGGTTCACAGATGGGTCTGCAATCATGACCCACAAAGGACGACATTGGACTGCAGTAGCTTACAACCCTCAGCAACAAATTGTGATTCAAGAGAAGGGAATAGGAGGATCTAGTCAATATGCTGAATTGACTGCCATAGTCATACTGATGGAAGAAACCACAGATCCAGAGCTCTACATTTATACAGATAGCTGGGCTGTGTACAAGGCTTGTGTTACATGGATGCCTACATGGAGAAACAACAGGTGGCAAATACATGGCAAGACAGTATGGGGAGGAGAAGATTTATGGGAAAATATATGGAAAACAGCCCAATCAAGATTAATACACCTCGGACATGTTAATGCCCATGTGAAAGACAGTACTGGAGAAGAGAACCCGAATAAGATAGCCGATGAATTGACCCGAATACGAGAGGCAAAAATAACACCAGAACCTGTTGATCCAGTATTACTTAGGATGGCAGACTGGGCCCATGAGACCGCGGGTCATAGAGGAAAAGCAGCTACGCTAGAGTGGGCGCGAGCCCGAGGACTACCAATAACTCTCCAGATGATTGTCCAAGCTCAAGAAGTATGCGAGACCTGCAATGAGGTTAAGAAATGGCCCCTCACGAAGCAAGCCCGTGGACATTTAAATAAAGGAACAATAGCAGGACAGATCTGGCAGATGGACTACATTGGTCCCATGCCTAAAGGAAGAGGGGGGCTGATGTATTGTTGTACTGCTGTAGACACCTTTTCCGGAATTCTGAAAGTATTACCCTGCAAACATGCGAACCAGGCCTCAACACTTCAGATGCTACAGACTCTTGTGATTGCTTATGGACTGCCATCTGAGATTCAGACAGACAATGGAACCCACTTCACTGGACAGCTCGTACAGCAGTGGGCAAATGACTCCGGGATTAAGTGGATCTTCCACATCCCCTATCATCCTCAAGCTTCGGGGTTGATTGAAAGGTGCAATGGGCTTTTAAAAGAACAGATTCGGAAGCTATCCCCAAGTAGGACATTGAGGGGGTGGGACCGGGTGATCACGCAGGCAGTTATGATACTAAATAGTAGACCAATAGGACAGTTTTCACCTTATGAAAGATTGACTGGACAGGTAGGGACACCAACTGTGTCAGTTCGATTAAGGTTCAAGGGATCTTTCCCCCAACAGGTGGGGAAGAACAAATTTAAAGTGGTCAGCCAGAACCTAGTTGAGATTGTACAGGGTGATGAATGGATGACATACATCCTTCCCATGGGTGGGATATTACCAGAAGGGACTGAAGTGACCTTTGCCCTAACAGAGGAGCTAAGAGATGATAAATGGTTGACCACAGGGATGGTAAATGTGTTATCAGATTTGTGGGAAATCCCATTGACCAGGGGGTGTCCAGGCCAGATTTTCTCACACACTGTATTAGGCGTGGTATCCATTTGGATCCCACGGAAAGTATTAGTGACATGGGAGGAAAGCAATACCTTACAGACAGGTTCCAAAGTATGGGTGCTACCACGAGCAGGTGAGCAGGTCAAACAGAAGGGAGAAATACTGTCCAATGGACCTGGTGACACTAAAGTTTGATTACTAAGTGGAGGTACTCACCCTGTTTTATTTCCTTCCAACAGATTGGTGGCTATATAGACAAGTCGGATCCCTGGTCCTCCAACTCATACCTGAATCTATTAGCAAGTTATTCGAGAGTGTCAAACAGCACAGATTGCTGGATTTGTGGGACCATATCATTCAGCGAGGAGAGCAGTTACCCATATGTTGGTGTTCCATGGACATTGGAGGAGTTAAAACAATATAATAATACAGGATTCGGCTGGTACCGAGAAGAAGGAAAGCCACAATCATTGGACAGATTGCATATTATAAACCGCCCCCAGGAAGGTGCTATTTGTATCAGTTCACATAACAATGGAGCCAATGCCACTAAAATGGGATATTCTAACTGTACATCTGCCTGGGTAAAGGGCTATGGTAATGAACAACATTGGGCAATGACTGTCAAAGACTCCAGCCCAATGGTGAGAGTAATAAGTATGACCTCTCATGGTGCAATAAAAAGACTGAGCTTTCCCTTTATTTCTATACTCCTGGACACTTGTTTTAGTGGGGCCCCAGATAATAGTTAAAGTGTCCTTCCCAGAGGTGTGTATTTTATGTGTGGTAATTGGGCCTATAGATGGTTACCTACTCAATGGGAAGGAGAATGTTACATTGGATCAATCATCCCAGCCATAAGGCATAGAAATAGCTTTCCAGAAGGCATGATTAGAAATAAACGGTGGAGTTCATTTATCGGAGAACATGAAGCTAATTCTGGAATTGTATTTCCCAGCTGGGGAGTATATTGGTCATTAACTCGAATAGAAGCTTTAAAAAAGCTAGTGGATGAAGCTTTAGATGCAACCGTGGATGCTATTAACAAACTATCCCAAGAGCAGGTACAAATGAGAGCAGTGGTGTTGCAAAATAGACTGGCATTAGATTATGTCTTGGCCGCCAAAGGAGGCGTTTGTGCGTTGGTAGGGACAGAGTGCTGCTCATATATTGTCAATAACTCTGGCACAATAACACATGATATTTCAAAGATAAATGATACCAGGAAGAAGCTCCAGAATCCACCGGATAGTGGACCTTTTGGGTGGTTGGGTAATTTAGTGTTTAAAGTAATGCAATGGGTAGTAGTGGGTGTTGTTTTATGTATAATATTGTATTTTTTTGTAAATTGTATTATATGTGTGGGAAAGCAAGCTATGAAGAAAGTATGACCTATCCGAGAAATATATGAGTTATAGTTATTACTCATGTAATGGGATCAACAGGTGGATTGTATTGGTTATGGGCAATGATAAATGTTCTATTATTGTGTTCCCATTCATGTGCAATAACTTATGATACCTATAGGGGGTGTAGTGAGCTATGTGACATTAAGAGCAAGAAGATGGCTGCTGCATATTTAATGAGACATGTGCTTTAGGGAGGAAGTGACCTATAGGTGGCCTAGTGAGCACTGTGACGTCGAGTGAATAAAGATGGCTGCCGCATAGTCAATGAGACATGTGCTTTAGGAAGGTATTGAGAATTCTTAAGTCACTTCCTTTCACAAAGGACCACATGTAGTATCCGCCTCCTAGAGATGACCATTAGGTATTGGTTATGTTACCTCTGTGGGTGGATACTAGATGGGAGGTTATTCAAGGGGTTTCCAGAAACTAGAGTTTCAGTTTCATGACTGGGTAGGAAGAAGCCAGGTGTCTTTAGAGGTGCCCATGTAAATCCATTTAACATGTGGCAAGGAACTCACCTCATTGTTCTGTGTGTTATGCTGATTCAATTATCCTGTGTAAGCTGCTGAATCTCCATGAATAGAGCTAAGTAGATTTCTTACCTGAATGTATTGTTTATAGCAGTGTGTGTTTTTAAAGTATTTGTTTTTTGTGTGCTTGATAATTGTATTCCCAGTAAAGTTTTGTTTATACTTTCATCAAAACTTTGCCTCTTGTCTGTTCATTCAAGATATTCACTAATATTTATGTGATTGACCAGTATACCTTTTATTATTTTATTTGTGGTATTATTTCATATTTATGAAATTCAGAACTTCATAAATATAAAGAAATTACTTAATTTACCATTACACTCTCATACATACTTTTTACTATTATAAAAAACTCAATCCTCTTGTTTTGCACCACACTGATCAAGGCATATCACATTTGTCTTGTATCTTACTAAATGATCTCCTGTGTTTTGCTTGTATTTTATGTGAATTGAGAATAAAAGAAAGATTGACCAAAAGAAAACATACAGATAATTTCATTATTTCTGTGACATGGACATTGATATTGTAAGCAGTGTGTTATTTACAAATGTAGGGATGAGCATTATTGGAGGTGCTTGGGGGTGTGAGTAAGAAAATTATTGTGTACTGTGAGAGACCTATATTGCTACTTCACCACATAATTGGCATATATGGCAGCTGGCTAGAACTTTTTTTATTGCAAGGAATTGCAAATGCAAACATATTGGAAAAACACCCCAAATCTTGCTATTTTTCCAGCCAGTTAATTCTAAATAATTTCTGGTTTAGTGAATAAATGCCTATTTTTTTCTTAATATATTCAATTTAACTACTTGCTGATCATTTGACATTTTTTACATCATTATAAAAAGTGTTACATAGGGGTTGATAGCAACAAGCATTGAATTTTATACATAATCATTCCAATCATACCGTATGTTTTATCTTCATTTAAGAATTCAGCATGCAATCTTATTTAATTCTGCTGCTTAGCAGCAAAATATATGTCAGATGTTGTATGAAATTTCTCCACACCGGATAACAAAAGAATTCAGATGGGAGACATTGGACTTAGCACATGTTAAAAGAGTGGACATATTTATAGTCATGGCTGTTAAATTCTCTGGCATGTAGTAATTTCAGTTCTATTGCTGGTGTAAAAATATATGCCAGGATAAGGATTTATATTCCCAAAACTTCAATTTTCACCTTGTTATAATCTTGAGAAGTCCCTGATAATTTAAAATATGTCATTCTATCCTTGTGTGCCTAATTGAGCTAGACTAAAACAAGAATACTGAGCCAGACATTAACACAAAGACTAATCTGGCATTAGATTACATAACATTGTATTTATTTTCAGTGCAGCTTATCCCATCCAATTTGTACTACATTTGAAACACAAAATCAGTGCTCGGCTTCTGCTGCTTAAATCTATAGGCATTATAACATGATAATTTACTGTCGAATTGTAACTGTCATTACATGCTGCTGAAGGTTGGAAGTGGGTCAGTGTAACTGGGAAATAATCACAAATACGAGAAAAATTTACATTTATATATAGTGCAGGTAAATGTGCAGGCATATATATGCTATTAACTTGCCTGTCTTATCTCAAAAAAAATATTTTTTTACTTTTATTATTAGATTTTTTTAAAGATTTTTAAACTAAAGTGAATTAAAAAGAAAATCTCAAATGGATATAGCACTATTTTTACTTTATTTTATTTTACAATACACATATCTAAAATGCAATGTGCTCAAGCTATGCTTTTTGAGGACAGTTACCTGGAGTTCCCAAAAGCAGGGAACAAACCCGAGACAGCAGGACATGACCCTGAAATCTGTACTGCTTGGTTGGATAAAGGATTTAGGGGTGAGGAGGGACTGGAAGGGGAAATGGATCTAAAATTTGAAATGAAAATTATATGATTGAGCAGGGAAAGATAGATTGGCTGATAAAAAGCATGAAGTAGAATGAGACAGAATGCTACGGTAGGGAGACTGAAAAGTAGCAGAGGTTTAAAAGTTGTTGGGGAGTGGGGAGCAAACATGTGAAAGTAATTTCACACCTCCTCACTGTCCCGGATTTAGGAGGGATAGGCACTGATGTGGGCCCCAATCCAAATTACAGCCCTGATTTAATACTATAAGCTTTCAAATGATGTAATATTTTGAGGATAAACTTTTAAAATATCTTTTTTTTTCATGAATAGTTTGTTTAAAGTTTTTCAGTGAATACAGAGGCAAAACAATGTACTTGTTGCCCAGGTACACAATCGCATAATGTCAATAAGCATAATACAGTAAGTACAATACAGTCTAGTGAATTATCTAACAATTGTGTTTTGCTACACAGATTAACTTTTAACATTCAGTATGGTGGATAGATATCCTGGGTATTTCTGTGGCAACCTCTTAGTGGGTCTGGTTGCCCCTTTTGAGTCCCCTTGGGGAGTCATTTCATATTGTGACTATTGCCCTGTATTCCCAAAAAATAACAGGAAAAGTTGGGAGGAAGGAGCAGTGAAGGCTAGAAAAAATGGGGTGGGGGGAGAGGGTAGGGTGTTTTGTAGCTCTCTCATGCCTATCTGTTCATTGCTAAGTCCTGGTTTCTGGGCACCACTGTGTGTGCTGTCTGCAGTGTTGGGTCTTGATATTGGTCGGTTGTTCAACCAAGGTAGCCCTGTGTTGGTTCCTTTATTTTTTTTATTTTTTTTTAGAAACATAGAAACATAGAATGTTATGGCAGATAAGAACCATTCGCCCATCTAGTCTGCCCAATTTTCTAAATACTTTCATTAGTCCCTAGCCTTATCTTATAGTTAGGATAGCCTTATGC